AGGAGGAGGACGAGGACGAGGACGAGGACGATGAGGAGGTGGAGGAGGAGGCGGAGGCGGAGGCGGAGGCGGAGGAGGTGGAGGAGGCGGAGGAGGCGGAGGTGCGGAGGAGGCGGAGGAGGCGGAGGATGATGAGGAGGAGGAGGAGGAGGAGGAGGAGGAAGAGGAGGAGGAGGAGGAAGAGGAGGAGAATGAGGAGGAGGCGGAGGAGGAGTAGGAGGAGGACGGGGGAGGAGGCTTGCTGGGGTTGGCCCGTAGGGCGACGTTCTCATCCTCAGGCGTGGGTACTTGTAGTGGGGCAGACCAGGCAGGAAGAGACCCCCGCGACGGAGTGTCCCCACACCGACCATTGTGCCTCCAGACGGGCAGGTCCATGGTCACTTTTCGTGCCAGGGACGCCCGCGATGGAGAGGACAGCGGCCGTCAGAAGTGGGGCCAGCAGAGAGTCCGCATATGATTTGCCTGGGGTTTCGCCCTGTTCCCCAGCCCCCGTCATCAGAACAGCGCGCGCACCTATGTAGCGCCTCCTCAGGGGCGCTAGTGGGGCGCTCTGGGGGCCCCATGGTTGCGCCAATGAGTTTTGTCATCTCTGATCTGGACCTGCGGGGATCTGGCAAGGATATTTTCGACCAGGGACCCCTAGGGGCTGCCACGCGCGCGCGAACCAGAAACGTATCAAACTCTTGATGGATATTTCAGCATTTGGCCCGTTGGGCCAGCGAAGTTCTGGTGATGCGGCGACGATGGCGATTGTGGCGGCGATGATGGTGCAAGTGAGAAGGATGGTGATAGTATTTGGCCATGACGGCTATGACGACGACGACTGCGACGACGACGGTGAGAACGACGCCGACGATGATGTGGATGTTTCGGGACGGAAGCTGAGCATAATGAGGGAGGGAGGGAAGGATGGGACTCCGACTGGAGGGGCGAGGGAAGCATGCACATCATGATCGATGAGGGAGGAGGACGGGGGAACAACTGAGCACGCGGAGCCCGATGATGAACATGATGTGGATGTGATGGTGGTGATGATGATTATGATGATCATGTTGATGATGATGATGATGATGATGATGATGATGGTGATGATGGTGGTGATGATACGGATGGAGAATATGGTCATGATCATGACGATTGTGACGACGGTGGCGATGATGTTGCGAACTCTGTTTTTGATCATCATCATGATGATGAGGTTGATGATGATGACGATGTTGGTGGCGTTGATGATGGTTATGATGGCGATATTGCTGTTGCTGATGCTGCTGCGGAAGACGGCGATGACGATAAGGATGATGCTGATGTTTGGGATGATGATGGTGCTGATATGTAATGACGATAGCGACGGTGACGCTGATGATGATGATGATGCTTCCGATGATGATGATGCTTCGGGTGATGATGATGCCTGGTGATGACGACGATGCTACTGCTGCTGCTGATGATGATGTCGGTGATGAGCATGGTGCTGGTGATGATGCTTATGCTGATGTTCATGATGATGTTGCTGGTTTTTGTGATGGTAATCATGGCGGTGGTGATGACGATGATGATGGTGATGATAACGATGATGATGCAACCGCGGCTGATGATGCTGGTGGTGATGATGATGATGCTGCTGCTGCTGATGATGATGATGATGATGATGATGATGATGATGATGATGATGATGCGAATGTGGTTTCCGATGATGCTGCCGATGATGAAGGTGATGGTGATGATGTTGCTGATGAAAACGATGTTGCTGATTATATGCGTCGGATGAGCAGCATTGTGATGCTGATGCTGATTTTCATGTTTGTATTGGGCTGCTGCTGCTGATGATGGTGATGGGGGGAGGAGGAGGAGGAGGTGGAGGAGGAGGAGGACGAGGACGAGGACGAAAACGACGAGGAGGAGGATGACGAGGGGGAGGAGGAGGAGGTGGAGGAGGAGGAGGAGGAGGAGGAGGAGGAGAAACACGAGGAGGACGAGGAGGTGAGGAGGAGAAGGAGGAGGAGGAGGACAGGTGGAGGAGGAGGAGCAAACTGAAAAGGAAAAGAGTATGATGGACGGACTCTTCCATCCCTAGCCTTCTCCCCCCACCCCCTCTCTCCTCCTTCGCCACCTTTTCTCCCCTTTCTCTCTTCTTTTCCTCCTTCGCCACCTTTTTCTCTCTTTCACTCCTCCTTCCCCTCCCCCCTCCTCGCACCTCCTCCTGCCCCTCTTTGCGAGCTACGCATGGCTGCCTTCGTAGAGGGCACGTACCAAGCGAGCCTCCGGCTGAGGCCAGTAGCTCCAGACTTTGAGCTAGACGTCTGGTGCTGTGCACTGTTCCCTGTCAGGGCATTCCGTTCCGTTCCGCCTGCCCCTCTCCTCTCATCCCGTTGCCTTCCTGCCCTTTTCCTCTCATCCTCTGCCCCTCTCCCCTCATCGTTTGTCCCTCATCCCGTTGCCCGCCTGCCCCTCTCCTCTCATCCCTCTCATCCCGTTGCCCTCCTGCCCCTCTCCTCTCCCCGTTCCGCCTGCCCCTCTCCTCTCATCCTCTGTCCTTTGCCTGGCCCGCTTTCCTTTTCCGGCCCGCCCCGTGGTCCGAACAAGAGCTGCGGTGGCCTCCCTCGTTTCCCTCCCTCCCCCTGATCCCCGCCACCCACGACCTCAAACGGCCCCACGAAGCCACCCCAGGGCGCAAGGACCCCCCAAGACGGCCCCAGAAGGCTGTTGAAGGCCGCCCCAAGACGGCCCGTGCCCCAAGACAGCCCTTGCCCCTCCTGGCCCGCCCCCCTCCGCCTCCTCCTCCTCCCTCCCCTCTCCTCCTCCTCCTCCTCCTCCTCCTCCTCCTCCGCCGCCGCCGCCGCCGCCGCCGCCGCGCCGCCGCCTCCGCCTCCGCCTCCGCCCCGTCTTCGTCTTCGTCTTCTTCTTCTTCTTCTTCTTCTTCTTCCTCGTCTTCCTTTCCTCCTCCTCGTCGTCCTCCTCGTTCTCCTCGTTCTCCTCCTCCTCCTCCTCCTCCTCCTCCTCCCAGCGACGTGGATCCACGGTCCACGGCGCGAGCGTCCCAGGAAGTGGTGTTCTAAGCACGATCGAGGCTTCTCAGGTGCCCTTTTTCGAGTGGGCCACCTCCAGCAATGAAGCTCTCCTCTTGTAGACAGCTTCGAAAACGGAGCTAGGAGTGAGGGGGTCGTGTTGCAGCATCGCTGATGCGTGTTGGGTTTACAGTGGGCCTTCTACTCCTCCTCCCTGCTCCCAATCCTCCTCCTCCTCCTCCTCCTCCTCCTCCTCCTCCTCACCCTCCTCCACTTCCCCCTCCCCCCTCGCGTCTCTCCCTCAGCCCCTCCTCTTCCAGCCGTGAGGACGGCATCGTCAGGCGGAACGCCAGCCTCCGAGGCGGCCCGCATGGATCCCGCTTCCCGAGAGTTCGCTGCCTCATTGTGGCTACCAGCGATTTCCAGCCACCTCCACCTCCTTCCTCCCTCCTCCCTCCTCCCTTCTCCCTCCTCCTTCCCTCCCTCCCTCCCTCCTCCCTCCTCCCTCCTCCTTCCTCCCTCCCCTCCCTCCTTCATCCCTCCCCTCCCTCCTTCCTCCCCTCCCTCTTTCCCCCTCCTCCCCTTCCTCTTCCTCCCTCCTCCCTCCTCCCTCCCTCCTCCCCTCCACCTTTCGTCCCGCGATCCGCCCCCGCCTCGGCGAGGCGCCATGCCCTCGGCGCAGGCCCTGCAGGGCGCCATGGGCGCCTCGGGCGGCGGGCGCAACAAGGGCCGCGCCCGCCGCCTCCGCCGCCCCGCCTCCCACGGGGGCGGGAGGAGGCGGCAGGGTGGGAAGGAAAGAGGAAGGGGAAGGGGGAGAGGGAGGGGGAGGGGGAGGGGGAGGAGGGGGAGGGGGAGGAGGAGGAGGAGGAGGAGGAGGAGGAGGAGGAGAAGGAGGAGGAGGAGGACGATGATGAGGAGAGGAGAAGCACGCGGAGGACGAGGAGGACGAGGAGGAGGAGAAGGAGGAGGAGGAGGACAGGTGGAGGAGGAGGAGGAGGAGGAGGTGGAGGAGGAAGAGGTGTGAAGGTCGAGGTGGAGGTGGAGGGGACAGGAGGACTTTGACGGATCAGTGCCACCAGCGTCAGTGTCTGGAGGATACGGTGTGACGGGCAGGAGGGGGATGTGTGATGTGGAGGAGGGTGGGGCATGTGGAGGGGGGCGGGAATCAGGAGGGTGAGCATGATAAGGATGGCTAGAGGCGACGCGTTAGAAGAGGACGGGTGGGTCAGTTGGTGGGTGGATGGGTGGTGCATGAAGGGAGGAGGATGGGACGCCTTTTCCTCCTCCGCCTTCCCCATCCCCAGTCTCCTTCATCCCTCGCTTCCCGTCATCTTCCTTCTCTTTTGGCGACGACAGCAGCATGAAAGCAGACCAGGCCCTCCGCATCTGTGAGCACTATTTCTAGCCTGATCGGGATTCGGGCTGCCCGGCTGGACCTGCCGTCGACGCTGTCGCCGCCCTTGCAGCTGTCGGCTTTGCCGCCGCTGCCTCCTACCTCCCTCACCCCTCCCAGGAGTCTCCATGCCGCGCACTCAGATTCTACCACCATGGATTGCCGAGGGGCCCGGAGCCGAACATTGGGCGCACTGTCAGCGCACGCTCAAGCAGACAACGACGGGCCCGACGAACTAGCGGATGCGCCAGCGCGGCAGCAGACTAGAGTCAGAGTGAGCGGGGCCAAGCGGTTTCAGACCGCGGCTGCAGTGGGGCTCTGCGGTGTGGATCGTCGCTGCTGCCGTCGTCCCCCCGCGACCCGTCCCGCGACCCACACAACCCCGCGACCCATCTGCGGCCAAAACTGTCTCAAGACCCACCCACCCGCGACGCGACCCACCCGCGACCCGCGTGCGGCCACCCAACTGCGACCCACTGGCCAGGGCTGGACCTTCTGATTTGTTCTGCCTGTTTCCCCGGGCACCTCTGCCAAAACGTTTCGAGAACAAAGAACCCCTGACCCTAACAACACGATGTAGGCGTGGCCTCGCTTAGGTCCCCGCCTTCGCATTGGGGATCGCGAGCTTGGGCGGTGTGGCTTGATATATCTGCAGCAAAGACCCCCTATCCCTACTGTCTTTGGCCCTTCAAACTGAGGTCCAATCCCAAAGGGTTACTCCAGATTTCGTAATAAAGGGAGGGGGGTCTCATTTCGGGGGGGTCTCTTCCAGGCTATCTTGGAGGGCCTGGGGGGGTCTGGGGACGATGTTTTGGAGGGTTCTCCCACGGGGGAGGTCTGAAATGGCGTGTCTTGGAGGGTCCAGACCCCCTCCCTTTTATCACGAAATCTGGAGTAAGGCATTTGTACTTCTTCAAAAGAGGAAGAAACGAAGCCCGAAAGCTGGCCCAACGAAACGTTGAGGTCCAGCCCTGCCACTGGCGAGGTTGCCTCCACGGGTCGGCGCCTGCGGCGGGCCAACCCCTCCCGCATGCACACGTCGCATGCGACCAGGACGGTGACGATGGTGAGGAGGAGAGGACGAGGAGGAGGAGGAGGAGGAGCACGAGGGAGGAGGGGAGGAGGGGAGGAGGAGGAGGAGGAGGAGGAGGAGGAGGAGGAGGAGGAGGAGGACCAGGAGGAGGAGGACGAGGAGGAGGAGGAGGACGAGGAGGAGGAGGAGGACGAGGAGGAGGAAGAGGAGGCGTAGGAGGACGAGGAGGACGAGGAGGAGGAGGACGAGGCGGAGGAGGTGGAGGAGGAGGAGGAGGGTCTGGTGCGCGACAGAACAGGATGGGGACGATGGTGATGGTGATAGTGCATGATGCTGCTGATGCTGCTGATCATGCAGATGAGTACGAGAAATATGATGATGAGTATGGTAATAGTGGCCATGCTGCTGCTGATGATGAGTATTGATGGCTCGGGTACCGGTGACACCACTGATGAACGGTGGTAAGATGGATGACGGTGACGGAGACACTGATTATGTTTGTGCGTATGTATGGTTGGGATGACGATGTTGATGATGATGCTGATGCTGCTGCTGCTGCTCATGTTGATGCTGACGATGATGATGCTGATTATGTTGATGATACAGGTCGATTATGGTGATGATGATGGCGACGATGTTGATGATGATGCTGCTGATGATGATGACGACTATGATGATGATGATGCTGATGATGATGATGATGATGATGATGATGATGATGATGACGATGCCGACGATGATGATGATGGTGATGATGATTATTTTGATTACGAGGATGAGGATGATGAGTGATGGTGTTGATGATGGAGATGATGCTGATGATGACGTAGATGTTGCTAACGACGATGATGACGCTGATTATGATTATGACTCTGATGTTGATGCTGATGCTGGTGCTGATGCTGACGACGATAATGATGATGATGACGATGCTGCTGCTCATGATGAGGAGGAGGATTACGATAATGCTGATGGTGATGCTGACAACGACGATGATGCTGCTGCTGATGATGCTGATAATGCTGCTGCCAGTGATGATGATGATGCGATGATCATGCTTATGATGATGATGCTGCTGCTGATGATGATGATGATGATGATCATGATGATGCTGCTGATGATGATGATGATGAGTATGAGGAAGAGTATGATGATTAGGATGCACGTGAGGATGATGATGCTGATGAGGAGTATGATGCTCCTGCTGCTGCTGCTGATGCTGCTGGTGCTGATGCTGCTGCTGCTGCTGATGATGCTGATGCTGATGATGATGGTGTTGTTGTTGTTGTTGTTGTTGTTGTTGTTGTTGTTGCTGTTGTTGTTGGTGGTGGTGGTTGTGGTGGTTGTTGTTGGTTGAATTCTCACTATTGAAGAATACGCATTGTTGATCCCCCCTCGCGTGCACATTGTAGTTTTTTCAATTGAAGTGCCCCTCCCGGCGCTCTTAACTAGTTTTATATTAAGGAAAGTCTTGAGGCTCAAATTGTGTTTTTTGTCCCCGGATTACGTCAACAACGGCTCCCGCCTGAGACTTCTTCACAATTTAGACAGGACCCCCGCTCCCAGATTACAGCAACAACGGCTACCGCCTGAGACTTTCTTACAATTTAGCCAGGACCCCCGCTCCCGCCTGAGATTTCTTCGCATTTTATACAAGAATCGTGCTCTCGCTTGGGACTTCCTTACAATGTATTCAGGAATCGCTCTCTCGGCGCTCTGGAGTCGCGCTCTCGCTGGAGACTTGCTTGCAATTTACTCGAGAACAGCGCTCCTGCGTTGAAATTTCCTGCAATTTATTCAAGCGCTGCGCTCCCGACACTCAGGCACCCAGAAGTCGCGCTCACGCTTAGGACTCCCTCACAGCTTACTTCGGAATCGGGATCTCGCTGCCCATCGTGGCTTCGTTGCAGCCTTTCGTGGCCCCCCTCGCTGCCCTTCGTGGACCCGCTGCAGCCCTTCGTGCCCCCCTCGCTGCCCTTCGTGGCCCCGTTGCAGCCTTTCGTGGCCCCCTCGCTGCCCTTCGTGGCCCCGTTGCAGCCTTTCGTGGCCCCCTCTCTGCCCTTCGTGGCTCCGTTGCAGCCCTTCGTGGCCCCCTCGCTGCCCTTTGTGGCCCCGTTGCAGCCCTTCGTGGCCCCCTCGCTACCCTTCGTTGCCCCGTTGCAGCCTTTCGTGGCCCCCTCGCTGCCCTTCGTTGCCCCGTTGCAGCCCTGCGTGCCCCCTCGCTGCCCTTAGTGGCCCCGTTGCAGCCTTTCGTGGTCCCCTCGCTGCCCTTCGTGGCCCCGTTGCAGCCCTTCGTGGCCCCCTCGCTGCCCTTCGTGGCCCAAAATACGTATGCCCTTCGTGGCCCCCGCTCGTTCGCTCCCTTCGTGGCCCCATATGCATGCCCTTCGTGGCCCCGCTGTCGCCCTTCGTGGCCCCGTCGCTGCCCTTCGTGGCCCCGTCGCTGCCCTCAGTGGCCCCGTCCGTGCCCTCCGCGGCCCAACATACGTATGCCCTTCGTGGCCCCCGCTCGTTCGCGCCCGTCGTGGCCCCGTGTGCATGCCCTTCATGGCCCCTCGCTGTCCTACGTGGCCCAGTTGCTACCCTCAGTGGCGCCGTCGTTGCCTTCTGTGGACCCGCATTATCTGCCCTTCTTGGCCCCCGCTCGTTCACGCTCTTCGTAGCCCCCAGACGCATTCCCTTCGTGTCCCCGCTGTCGCCCTTCGTGGCCTACTTCGTGCCCTTCGTGGCCCTGCTGTCGTTCTCTCTCTCTCTCTCGCTCTCGCTTTCGATCGTCGTCGTCGTCGTCGTCGTCGTCGTTGTCGTCAACGTTGTCGTCGTCGTTGTTGTCGTTGTCGTTGTCGTCGTCGTCGTCGTCGTCGTCGTCGTCGTCGTCGTCGTCGTCGTCGTCGTCGTCGTCGTCGTCGTCGTTCGTCGTCGTCGTCGTGGTCGGTCCCCTGTCCGTCCCCCTTGGGGACGGGGTGCTGCCGATCGGCGCTGTCGCTGGCCTGCCCGACGGTCCCTTGCCAGGGCCCGGCGTGCAGGGAAGAAAGGTATACCCCCCAAAAGGGGTACGATCGAAGACGAAGAGGGCGGGTATCGAGGGTTTGGGAAATACGCGTTAGCGGGCACTCGAACAGGTAAGATCGAACAGTCTTAAAATGATTGTTGTTGTTGGTGTTGTTGTTGTTGTTGTTGTTGTAATTGCTGATGGACACGTGCACTGAAGACCCGTACCCGCAGGGGCCCCATGGGGCTGTTGTGGTGTTGGTATTGGTGTCCTATAGGATCCCGTAGGGGTCGTATAGTATACTTGGGGAATC